TGAGTGGAGTGAGTGGAGTGAGTGGCGTGAGTGAAGGTGACCAGACTGTCCAGAGGACAGCGCTGGAGTGCACACAGTTAAGCTCAGATCGCGACCTCTAAGCTGTGTGAGAGGAAGCAGAGCGCCCTGACAAATTAATTAGCATAAACATTAGCATTTCATTGGCGGACTCACTCCACTCACGCACTCACTCCACTCACTCACTCCACTCACTCCCCCCCCCCCGCTGCTGGTCCGTCATGGTCCCCACCCGCTCCTGGTCCATCAATTAAGCAACCATTGGAAAGTCGTTCTGAATCAAACCAAACATTAAGCTAATTTTCAATGGTACAGTATATTTTTTTAAGTAGTGGTATCCCAAACTTTCGCAGCTGCTTAAATTCCCTTTTCACACCGTCAATATGTGGGCTCCCCCCTCTCCCCCTCGCCTGTCTGCACATGCTCCCCCCCCCCCCCCCCCCCCAGTACATCGTCCGTCATTCTAAGTCCGCCAATGAAATGCGAATTTTTATGCTAATTCCTTTGTCAGGGCGCTCTGCTTCCACTCACACAGCTTAGAGGTCGCGGTCTGAGCTTGACTGTGTGCACTCCAGCGCTGTCCTCTGGACAGTCTGGTCCCCTTCACTCACTCCACTCACTCCACTCACTCACTCCACTCACTCACTCCACTCACTCACTCCACCCACTCACTCCACTCACTCACTCACTCCACTCACTCACTCCACTCACTCACTCCACTCACTCACTCACTCCACTCACTCACTCCACTCACTCCACTCACTCCACTCACTCACTCCACTCACTCCACTCACTCACTCACTCCACTCACTCACTCCACTCACTCACTCCACTCACTCACTCCACTCACTCCACTCACTCACTCCACTCACTCACTCCACTTACTACACTCACTCACTCCACTCACTCACTCCACTCACTCCACTCACTCACTCCACTCACTCACTCCACTCACTCCACTCACTCCACTCACTCACTCCACTCACTCCACTAACTCACTCCACTCACTCACTCCACTCACTCCACTCACTCACTCCACTCACTCACTCCACTCACTCACTCCACTCACTCCACTCACTCCACTCACTCACTCTACCCCCCCCCCCCCTCCCTGCTGCTGGTCCGTCATGGTCCCCACCGGCTCCTGGTCCATCATGGCCCATGCACCTCCTACGTACATCGTGCTCATTTCTATACTAATTCCTTTGTCAAGCGTTTTGGTTCCTCCCACACAGCTTAAAGGACGCGACCTGGGCTTGGCTGTTGTCACTCCAACGCTGTCCTCATGACAGCACGGTCCCTTCACCTGATGAAGGCCACTTGTGTTGTGGCCGAAACGTCGTGAATTTTTTTTACGTGACTTTACCGAATAGAACACAGTGAATGATTACTTTTGAAATTATTGAATTCGCAAGGGAGCCATTACCACAACAGCGCACTCAGCCGGCAATGCTGAGACGTGGGTTTCAGGCACCTGTGGTTGCCTTTGCATTGGGTTGAGGTTATCTCACTGGGCTCGATTGGCTGAAGAAAAAAAACAATGATGCTAAGTTAAATTTGACACCTATATGATGTATGGAAGTTGAACTTATTTCGCACCGTAGGTAGCCAACCGTGCTGATTGGAGGTGTGGGGAAGGGACAACATAAAAAGCAGTTTCTGTTGTTGTACATACTACACTACATACTGCACTACATACTACAATACATACTACACTACATACTACACTACATACTACACTACATACTATAATACATACTACACTAAATACTATACTACATACTACACTACATACTACACTACATACTATACTACATACTACACTACATACTACACTACATACTATACTACATACTACACTACATACTACACTACATACTATACTACATACTACACTACATACTACACTACATGGTATACTACATACTACACTACATACTACACTACATACTATACTACATACTACTCTACATACTACACTACATTCTACACTACATACTACACTACATACTATAATACATACGAAAATCACCCAGGAATGTCTGTCCTTAACGCTCGTGACGTCACTCCGCATCGACCAGCCCCCTAATTAATATTCATGAGCAGGTGACGCCCTCCAAATGGACACCCCCCCCCCCTCCAGTCATAATAATTAGCGGCAGACGTCACTCCACATGGGGGGCTGAGGCACCTCCTCCCCCCTCCTCAGCGTCAACTGACAACCCTCACTACAAAGGCAGAACCCTCACGTCACGTGATCTCCGTAACGCTGTTGAGACATCGAAGTAAAAAGGACGTCATGATGAACAAGGGATTATAACTTTAAAATAAAATAGCTCTGTGTCACCGCGCCCTTACTAACTGCACACGCATTGATGCAATGAATATCACGTCGCGGTCTGCTTTTCCACTCGCAAGTTCAGATTTACTGCAATACACCCGTCCTTGGACGGGCAAAAGGCGAGTTATTTATATTGATTCAACCACGGTGGGGGGGGGGGTGTACAACTTCCATGGACAGGTGAGTGGTGCATAGTGGGATAGGCGGCTCGGTTAGAAAACCAACGCAGACGTGTAGGACCGTAGCGTTGTGGTATAAAAACAGTTTTAAAGAAATTCGTTTAAAATCTAGATGTAAAAAGTGCATAGCTCCAGTGGCTTCCTCTTATCAAAAGGAAGAGCATTCCAGACATCTGCAGAACAGCGCGCAATGCAGTCACAGGTCACGCAGTAGTCTAATTTCCTTGATCTTGTCCCGAAAATGCTTGAGGTAGTTTCAAGGGAAAAATCTTCATATCTAATTTGCAAATTATGGTTGTGATCATTGTTCTTCAACTGACCGGTGAGCTGAAACAATAATACAGGTAGTCCCTGACTTACGATGGTCCGACTTTCGATATTTCGATTTAACGATGGCGATAGCGATATGACAAAATTGTAAAATATTTTTAATTTCGCGCGGCAGGCAAACGCAGCAGCGTTACGAGGTACGATACTGAATTGCATCATCGCCATCCTCCTCTTCCGACAACTAAGTTAATGTAGCCATCAACAACCTAACATCGTTCAAGTATGCAGACGACGGACAGAATCTTGGTGAGCACAGTAGAATATGATACGTTACGATACGTTCAATGCATGTATGATACATAGCTTTAGCGATTTCATTTTAGGGTTACCACGATACGATACATACGTTCAATGCATGTTAAAAGTTTTTTTATAGCAGATAGGATTGTTTCCTAAAAAAAATTCTATGAAAATGCAGTTCATATAGGTAGCCTAAGAATTTACCTTGCTTTTTACTTAAAATTTTACTCTGCAATAAAGTATTGTAATTAATAAATACATGCAGTATATAGTTTATACAGTACGGTACTGTAAATTGCACTGTTTTGCTAAATTATCACCATTCTTTAAGACTCCTTGGTAGGCTAGGCCATTTTCGACTTACGGAATTTTCGACTTACGATGGGGTCGTCGGAACGCATCTCCATCGTAAGTCGGGGACTACCTGTAATTTTAATTGCCACTTTGTTAAAACGCTTGTACACGTGATGGTCGAACTCTTTTGGCTGTGTCGGGTGGTGGAGGGAATGAACGACAAAATTTTGGCCAGATCTAGGTGGCCTAACCCAAAGATCAATTAATAATGATAATATTGGCTCTGAAAATCTACGTGTTAAGAAAAACGTAATTATGAAAAAAATACTTTAATTTGCCATACGCCAGCTCACTGAGGAACTGAAGGAACTTATGGCACTGAGATATACGATTACATGCAATCATCACGACCAGAGTAGTTCACAATTGTCACTGATGTGCTTGGCTACAAAACGAATCGAGGTGATTGGAATTGGCTGGCAGCCCTGGGACAGGACACTGCAACGACAACCCGCAACCACCACTGAAGTTTGCACGTACAAAAATACAAGGATCCCTCTTGTAGCCTGAACAGACTGTTGGGGAAAGTGCTGTTAGCGAGCACCTATGAAGACCGGCACGGAAATGTTTACACATCGCAGCAGACACTCACTTGAGGTTGAGTCGACATCAGTGCCGGATTAAGCTAGTACGGGGCCTGTAGCATATGTTATAAAGGGGCCCGAAATAAAAATAAAAACATTAAAACACACATTTTTCACTTGCATATTAAAGTAATTGTATTTTTTCATTTTCTATACAGCCAAATAATACGACAAATCGCTAACCTTAAACACCCAGTCGTTCATAAAAGTTGAATGCAGTATAGTACTATAGTAATAGAGCAAGTGCAGAATCACTGAACCGGAATTGATAGCTTGAAAGCATTTAGCGCGGGGCCCTTGAAAGTGTGGGTCCCGTAGCATATGTAGCTACTTTTGCTGCGAGAATAATCTGGCACTGGTTGACATAGGGGAGGCCAGGACCGTTTCAGATCATCTTCACTGTTGTCGGCCGTGAGCGAGGAATCGAACTCGGGTCGCTGGGGTTTTAGTGCAGCGTGCTAACCGCTATACTACCGCTCCCACGTACACATCCACAGCCACACACACGGAGCTGTCGCTTGAGGGGATCACAGCGCGTGGGACTCGACGTGCAAGTAGTTACTACGATGCTTCCGTGTGGAGCGGTGGTGCAGTTGTTTGCGCTGCACTCGGAACCAGGCTATGCATCCCCTCCGGGCCACGACTGACATCAGAAGCGCGCGATCTGAAGCGGTCCCGAGGCCCCCTAACCCCTTCACAAATCGAAATTGTCCAGCGTGGTGAATTATGGTCAAATAAAGGTGTGGTTATAAATTATTTATTATGATTACGATGCTTCCTAGCTATTACTTTTTTTTTACAAACATGCAACAGCTTAACCCCTCCCTTATACCCACTCCGAGCCTCCTATCACCCGAGGCTTGTGTTCTTGATTTCTTATTGGATCATCGATCAATCAATGTCTGCCATTGAAAGAGCCCTCCCACAATGTTCAACCTTAAAAGGTGCCAACCCTGGCTAGAAATTTCAGGCACAGCCGTAGCCAAACCTGCGCGTGCCTCACTTGCAAAATTTGCCGCTTGCGTGTTCAAATTATTACGTCTGCGACTTCCTAGAAGACTGCACTCTCCCCGCGCATCGGACACTCGGTTAATCTTTTAGGTCAAAATCGATTCGCTAAAAACATACCCTTGCAAATTGTAGCTTAACTGTAATCACCACAAAGCAGATCTTATTAGGATGACGTACTACAGCTCCAGTTCACGCTCAGTCAGCGGAGGATATGGAGGGGGAATTGTCCTGGGTCGCAGCGGAGCAGCCAGCGTCTATGGTGGCAGTAGCTGCCAGATTTCTTCGGCCAGCTTTGGTCGGGGGAACTTCGCGGGAGGCGGCGCGGGTGGGTGGGGGAGCTCACAGTTCAAGATGATCGTGGGGGGACAAGGCGGCGGTGTGAGTGAAAAGGTGGAGATGCAAGGCCTGAACGAGCGTCTTGCCGAATACCTGGACAAAGTTAAATACCTGGAATCGGCAAACCAGGCCATAGAGCTCAAAATCAAAGAGATGCTGCAAGGCAAAGGGTCCACCGCAAAGGACTACAGTGTTTACTATTCCACTATCGAGGACCTGCGGGAAAAGGTTAGAGATTTCCTCCTGTCTTGTCTCGCTCACCTTGTGCGCATTGACGATGTCCATCGACATTGTTGACTTCTCCACAATTCTGGCTGTCGCCTGATGAGGCTGGTTTAAATTATTGGCGAAATGACGCAATCGAATTGTAAATGTTGTGGGTTTACTCTCCAACACACCAGTGTGCTGAACGAGTAACGATTTGGCATCTTTTGTTTACACAAACCTTACCACTTGGCTGTGTCGGGTGGTGGTAGGTTTAACGACACATTCATATTTATGCGATCTAAGAAAAAACACTATTATAGATGTCTGTCGAGTTGGCTCGTTAAAATATTGCCGCGTGTTTTCTTTTCTGTCCCGCCATCCCTTTACAGATCTTTGTCCAAATATTGGAGAATGCAAAAATCAGCCTGGAGATAGACAACGCAAGATTGGCCGCAGATGACTTCCGCAGCAAGTGAGTGGAGAGCATGTGCGGTCTTGCCGGGCATAACGTGAGGTCAGGAGGTCACCTGGGAGGGGATGCATAGCCTCAGAGCTAATAGTATAGCATCCACATCACTGCGCCAAACATCACAGTTTTAATCAGGGTTAAATGATAATGGGCAAAGCGATAATCGTTTTCAGAACTTGTAATCATTTCCAGTTGAATTTTAGTAGGAAGAGGTGGGCGTACCCACACTTTACCCCACCATACACGATCTACTTACTGGATCGACTGTGCTGTATCCTGCTGGCTGGATGTAGGCGGAGAGGATGGTGGGGGTGGGCAGCGTTTTTGACGAACCTGCACCATTGATTTAACTACCGCGTCAGGAATGGATTCGAACTGGTGACCTGTGGGTAGCGAGTTCGAACTCCCCTAATTTCCCAGATATGTCTGCCTATGTGTCAAACCGATAACAAGTTTTGGTGTTTGTACCGTATTTTCGACGCGGTTACCGGTAATGCATAAACAGCCAACTTGAACCACCATCGCAGTGTGTAAAGGGAAACTCTTGTGGGCTGCCGGCCACGTGCTTCTCAGGTGGGAGACGGAGGCGGCACTGCGCATGTCGGTGGAGACGGACATCGGGAACCTGAGGGGCCTCCTGGACGAGTACGGGATGGCGTGCATGGGCCTGGAGGGCGACATCGAGGCCCTGAGAGAGGAGTTGATCTTCATGAAAAAGAACCACGAAAATGTGAGTTGCTTTTTTAGCTCGTGCAAAGGAGTGATGTTGCTGTGTGTTTGGGATTGTGCTTTGGGTTGTCACTGAGTGGACTAATGGCTATTTGCTGGTGGTGAGGAGCTAAGAGCTAGACCAGGGGTCGGCAACCTTTCAAAGTAGAAGAGCCATTTGTTTTGTCTTTGAGAGCGACTTGCACACGTACACAAACACAGCAGCAAGCATACAGCAGATGACAAATGCATTCTGACTTAAATAAACAAATAGGTGATGGAATGAACTGCATATATTTAGTTTTTCCCCCCTTCGTTATTCTTTCACAATTTGACTGTTGTACATATTGTTTTCACCAAGACATTCCACAGTGACCCATTCCCTGCCGTATTTAATCAATTATCTTTACGTTAAATTATGTTTGAAGAATTCCGTTTATTTTAAACGGCAGCCTGCAAGGAGGCAGCCAAAGAGCTGCATGCGGCTGACCCCTGAGCCAGACCTTTTTACCATACATAATGTCTTATATACCTACATTGTGATCATTCGTTTGTTGTTTATACCTTTTGTTTTATACCATTATTTTATTTGCTTATTAATTTTTTATGTTCTGAGTATTTTATTTATTTCATTATATTGCTATAAATAGAATTTACCACAGAAATGCGATGATGCATATAATATTCGTTTGGTCTTTCGGTAAAGTCACGTAGATAGGTGGAAAGAAAATAACAAAAAAACTACGACGTTTCGATCACAACACAAGCGATCTTCATCAACCTATCTATGTGAATTTACCGAAAGGCCCAAATAATATGAATTCCTGCTGTCACGAAAGCTTTAAGTCAAGATGCATGTAACTATTGTACAGTGTTGTGAGATGCAATTAGCATGCTTCACACTTCATTTATTTCAAATTCCTTATGCGGTTAAAATACAACAGTCGACTCAGTCTATTGCTGACTACGGAAAGTGTCGCACCGTGCATGTCCGAGGGTTGGCTTAGTCCCACGCGTGCGTGCGATCGATTGCCATGCAGATGGGGGGCAGTAATGGTCTCTCGCTCGTGCCGTGCAGGAGCTGGCCGCTCTCAGGGCCCAGCTGTCCGGCGCCAACATGTCGGTGGAGGTCGACAGCACCAGGGGCCAGGACCTCCACAAGATCTTGGACGACATGCGGGCGCAGTACGAGGGCTTAATCGCCGTGAACCGCGCCAACGCAGAGATGGCCTTCAACAAGCAGGTGCTGGACCACACGCACAAGGCTTCCCATATAGCCTGTAACAGACTGTTGGCACAAGTGCTGTTAGCGAGTAGCACCTATGAAGGTTGGCACGACACACGAAGGGGTGGGTGGCCAGCACCATGCCCGGCCGCCTTCGTCTCCCCAGTGGCGATGTTTACACACCACTCCCGGTACTTATTTGAGGCTGAGTCAACCTAGGAGAGGCCCAGGAACGATTCAGATAATCCTCACCAGTGTTGGCCGTGAGCGAGAATCGAACTCGGGTCGCCTGGTCCGTAGTGCAGCACGCTAACGAGTACACTACCGCTCCCCTACACTACCGCTCTTCACATTGCACACACACGCACATGCAACTGTGCAACTCCACGCAGTCATCGCGTTGGATGCAGCAGTGGTCACCGTAAAATACTGGCGCCCTCTCTCAACTTCACAGGCTTCCAAGATAGATGGAGTTGTGAACGCTTTCGACCATCTGGCCGTTCATGGCGAGGTTGTGGCGCTGCTCGGCGAGCACCCATTTTCTGAATCTTAGTCTTGGCCCACGAGATGTGGAGCTCAACTTCGAGCATTTTCCCTCAATTACAATTACCATGCGAGACCGTTATCCGGCAATATCATCCGCGTCAGTGAGCCTCTCATCAGCGTGCGTGAAATTGCCGATCATGTAGGGCACGCTTAATGATCCAATGTCGGATGCCAGACCTGGTGCCAAAAGTGGCAGACAGGTTGCACGTAGATAACAATTCTATTTATTATTGAGGGATGCCGAATTAAAGTTGGTATTAAAGTTGTTAAAACCATTAAAATAGGGGGAAAACAATCATGAGTCTGTCTAATTGACCTTGGAATGTGAATTATGAGTATTGAGTTGATGCGAAAGATGCGTTTGTGTTCAGGCGGAAAGTGTCGTGGTGCAAGGTGCACAGCAAAGTCAAGCTGCATTGGCCGCCCAGAGCGAGATGTCGGAGACGAGGCACGCCATGCAGAGCCTCATGACCGAGCTCGAGTCACTGCGAGGCCTCGTGAGAATCACTGTGCCCTGTACACGGTTACCTCGCACATACACCACAGTTACCCCACACATACACCACAGTTACTACACACATACACCACAGTTACCTCACATACACCACAGTTACCACACACATACACCACAGTTACCACACACACACACCACAGTTACCACACATACACCACAGTTACCTTACACATACACCACAGTTACCACACACATACACCACAGTTACCACACACATACACCACAGTTACCACACACATACACCACAGTTACCACGCACATACACCACAGTTACCTCACACATACACCACGGTTACCACGCACATACACCACAGTTACCACACATACACCACAGTTACCTTACACATACACCACAGTTACCACACACATACACCACAGTTACCTAACACATACACCACGGTTATCACACACATACGTCACAGTTGCACTCAGTGACGTAGCTATCGACTGTGCTGCAGGCAGTGCAAATACACGGGGAGCCTCTGGGCCTGAAGGTCCAGATGCTGGGCTATGGAGAGACAGGAAATGGAGCAAGGAAATGCATTCCTTGCTCCAGGACCCACAACTGCGCACACCTCTTCTGGGTTTAAACAAAATATTTGATCTTGATTTGAAATATTTGAGTTTTAATGATGTAATGGCACTCACTGTCCCGTTCATCCATTTTGTCACAAAACTTCAAATACATTATCTTAAATTTTGATTTAAAGCTTTCGTGACTCCAGTAATTCATATTCTTAGTTCTTTCGGTAAAGTCACGTTGAAGGGAAACAATAAAATAATAAAATATATAAAACAATAAAAATTCTCACGACGTTTCGACTTTACCGAAAGAACTAAGATTATACATTATCTTATCCACATCTCTCTCTCTGTTCCACGACAACCAGATTCGCTCTCTGGAAGATCAGCAGTACGATACGGAGGACCGCAATGCCCGCGACCTGGCATCCTACACCGTGCATATCCAGATGCTGGAGGGAGAGCTGGGTTCCGTGCGAGTGGGCATCAACCAACAGCTGAAGGACTACGCAGAGCTGCTCAACATGAAGATGAAGCTTGAGCAGGAGATCAGCACCTACAGGAGGCTTCTGGAGGGAGAAGACAGCCGGTACATGTACTAGCTCTAGTTACATAATCATTGTAATAATAATGATTATTGTCATTGAGTACAGATGGTATTCGTGCCATTCTCATTGCAAAAGGCTATCGTGAATGTGCCATGTTTCACTGACACAGTCTGAAGTAGTTTTACATTTGGGGGAGGTGATTGCAATGTGTAATCCCAATTCAGTAATTTGCAGGTATTTTTTTAAATTGGCAAATTTGGACCACGACACTGGCACCCAAGGATGACATCAGGGGATCTTTAACGTCCTCTGTGACGCAGACGGTGGTGGGTATTTTGTGGTTAACGCACCCAATAGTATGAACCAGGGCGGCATGCTGTATTCGAACCACGAACCTCCGGAAAAAGGGGTGAATGCACTACCGCTGGTATCACGTCACTGCCCGCAAATGCAAACACGAGTGCACTGGCTCTCGTCACATAGTGGCAGGTGGAGATACTTGTCCATGACTCACAACATGTTGCACTGTAAGGTTAACCTTGTGCTAAATGTTCCCAGACATGTCACTATTTGTCCATACTCAGCTCACGTTGAGTCTCGGGAAGGCATCTGCACTAACAATCTCTACTCCTAACGCTGACCACAATCAGTTACATTTAATGAGAGCAAGAATGGCTATTGCTTTGCACAGGTCAAGGTGAGAAGGTCATGTCAAATAATCAGGTGTGATGACACCACCATTGCTTCCTTCTGTGAGACCCTACAGCTATGTTTGATGTATAGCATAAATCCAATCATTTGCACTGATATCAGGGGATCATATTGTGGACTAAATAATGATTGGTGCACCGCGGAGATTAGACTTATGATTCGGGATTTTCTTTTTGCACTGATGCCGTGTGTCGCGTATTACAGGAGGAATGAGTCCTCAAAATATTTGAGGATTTCAGGGGAAGCGTGGCACACGACAAACAGCTATATTACTCCACAATAAATGCACGGATTTTAAGCTCATTATTTTTATATAACACCCAAATAGTGAAAATCTGCCATATGGGTCTTTATTAAAAGGCGATTTGAGTGAATGTGAGGGGGTGCAATGGGGGCTAGATGTCAACTCCCTCGCCTGGTATACAGGACCTCGTGGGTTTGATCCCGACCCTGACGCCTGTATACTTGGAGTTTGCATGTTCTCCCCATGGTTGCGTAGATTTTTCTCCAGGGTCCTCTGGTTTTCCCTCCACATTTAGAACATGCGTTTAAGTATTTGGCTGCTATAATTTTCCACGTGATAAGTCACTTCGTTGAGCTATTATTTGTGGCCTGGTAGCCTCTGAAAAAGAGCTATATCGCTCAATGAACCTTACCTGGGAAAATAAAAAAAAGTGTATAGAATGCTCATGACATATTTTAATCATGCATCCTCCTCCCTCACCTGTGATCTCCCCAACACCCCGATCCCCGCAGGCTGAAGAATATCTCCTCGGAATCTTCGCACTCGATGCAGTCGAGTTTCAGCTTTGGTGCTGGTCACAAAGGAGGTACTGTGTGTTCTGAACATTTACCTGCATGGTCGTACAATCACACGTGCTTGCATTCATCAAGTTTAGAGACTTCAGTAAGGCAAATAAAATCTATTGAGTGTAAATGTGCGTGCTCACTCATGAAAATATTCCCATGCACAGCGAGTTGATTTTATCGTGGTGAAAATATAGCATTATCTTCTGCTCCATTTCACAAAATGTGTTTCCCCCCCATACGTAGTACAGAGTGGTACGGTCGCTTCCAAAGAATATATTTATTTTACTGTACTTACCTTTAACAATGCACGATATACTGTACAGCTAAACACACTCAGATCCCCATGTATGTATTACACACACCGTTACACAACATGGATTGCTGCTACTCATCTTCTTTCGTATGGCATTTGAAAAGCATCTGGCAAAAAAATATTAGAACTGTATGCCGAGTCTGGTAACCCATCTGATGGCAACAGGTGTTGCTTGACGCACAAGAGTAACCGTCCCTCCTCCCTCCTGTGTGAACGTGCAATGTTTACAATGGTCGGTTAAGCGATGAATAGACTGCACCTCAGCACGTTCACAAGAGGGGGACTTAGTGCACATTGGACTGCTGCTCGTGATGCCAAATGAGAATCATGTGACTGCATTCTCAGTAACAGAGCAATAGACTATAAATGTATATATCAGCGTACATAATGATGGACAATAATAGGAATGGTGCAAAACAAATACTTTAAAACAGATGAAGCAAGTAATAAAATATCATTTACACGAGTGTAAATTCTATATCATATAAATATTATTTAAAAACAGCCAGAAGGCACCCTCCCTTACAGATCGGGGCGGCTCATTCCACAGTTTAGAGACCGATGCTCTGAAGGTGAATGCTCTGCCACATGCATATCTTCTCTGAATCTGATGACATTCTCAGTGACAGAGAGCAGCTCCAGCTACCAAAGTTCAAGTACCACCGGGTCCAGCTCTGGCTCTGGGGCTGCTTCATCTTCCGTTTCCTCTGCCACAAAGAGCGCAGGAGGATCCAGCACCACAGGAGGAGCCAGCACTGCCGTGACATCCAACACCACCAGTGAGTCGTAGTGCTACCCTGCATCTCTCATCTTGCCTAACTAGATATCACAGCTCACGCTCAGTGAAGCAGAAAGTGTCTGCCAACAACGTCTTCATAATATTCGTGTTATCTGTATGCATGCGTCAATTTAGCGACATCAGACCCCATTCTGGGAGGTAAAAGCTACTACAAATCAGTTGGTATCCATAAAAACCTTGCAGAATGGTGGCCGCGTATTGCTATTCGAATAGGCCCGAGTTTGCACGAGAACGACCACCTATTTTTGGCAGAATGACGTCGAAAACCTCGACACAACTTGAGACGGAAATGTTTTACCATGCAGTTGGATAATTCGTTCTTTCCCTTTCACATTCACACGATCGTAGTTAACATCTAGCACAATTGATACATGTGTGGGGGCTAATTCCCCCCTCCCCACTCCCCATTAGGTGGGGGCTGATCTCCCCCTCCCTCACCACGAGCGGGGGGGGGGGGGCGCCACGTCTACTTGGTGGGGGCTGATGCCCCTCCCCTTCACTCCCCATTAGGTGGGGGCCGACCTCCCCCTCACCCACCACGGGCGGGGGAGGGGCACCACTTCTAATTGGTGGAGGCTGATGCCCTCCCCCCCACCCGCCATTGGGGGGGGGGGAGTCAATCACCTCCTCCCCGCATGGATTACGTAATTGTTTGACTCGCCACTGTATGGGATTTAATTAATAATTTCCACTAAGCCGTTGTGTCAACAAGGCGAACGCTCCCGCGCGGTCCGGATATTAATAAATTAATCGGCGCTCACGCGCCCCCCACCCACTCACGTGTGTCTCACCATTAACACTGCGGTGCACACACAGACACTAGTGACACTCGCGTGTGTCTCACCATTAACACTGCGGTGCACACACAGACACTAGTGACACTCGCGCGTGTCTCACCGTTAACACTGCGGTGCACGCACAGACACTAGTGACACTCGCGCGTGTCTCACCGTTAACACTGCGGTGCATGCACAGACACTAGTGACACTCGCGTGTCTCACCGTTAACACTGCAGTGCACGCACAGACACTAGTGACACACGTGTGTGTCTCACCGTTAACACTGTGATGCTCCCATAGACACGCGCCGGCACGGGCAACCGTTGATATTTTAATATGCGCGCGCGTCACACCCACACTGATTTATATTTGCCCACACACCGTCGTACACCGTTCGCTGTCCCACCGTTCTTCACACGCACACATGCACCACGCGTCAAACGTCAGTCTGTGCTAAGATTTATTTCCCGGAGCGAATAGGGAACTCCTGTTTATGGCCCCCTCCAGCCAGTACCCTTCGGACAGCGCCTAACCTATCACCTAGCCATCGCAGAGTGCGTCTATCCTCCAAGGTGGGCTGAATTGGCCCCCTCCCCCCATACTTACTCACCTTTCCAGCTGCATGATGGGGGTTGGGGAAGATGCCCGCCTCGGAGACTTTGCCTGGGCAATTGTTTTCAGCTGCACCCTGCAGGCGTCCCACGGACGCTGAGGGCGACTGGTATTCTCCGCCACTCCAGAAGAACTCTGACCCAATTTGCCTGTAAAGCTCTATGCCCCCTTTTTGGGGGGGCTGCCATGTAATCCGATCTGGGGGGTACAGCCAATTTCCTGGTCCGGGGAAACCGTAGAACGTCCCTGTTAATGGGGTCCTCGGGTGAAAACCCATTGTACCAGGTGATCCCTCCTCGAGACCCTACGGGGGTGCATGTGAGTGTTTAGTGGGGCGTGCGTGCGTTCGTGGTGGGGGGGGGGTGCAAGGAGAGGGCAGCGCCGGCCGAGCTGCTCCGCTGCGGTGGCACCACACATGTTCACTACATAGACTTTTTGTTCATGCTGTATACGGAACTATATATTTGTTGTATCTATAATGTTCATATGCTTCACTTTTTTATTGTGGTGGTGACGATCTTTTAACAGAGACCACCAGCCAGACCAGTTCGCTTTCAAGTGACGGCGCCTCTAGCGCCGCTTCTAATTCCGTTGTCGTAGAAAACGACGCGTCGAGCTCCAGCTCCACGACCATAACCAGCTCCTCCACCACCAGTGAGTGAAACGGCTCAGCGAAGCAGTTTGTTCTCATTCCTGTGCTGTTTCATGGAGTGTGGAGTAGAGTCCATGTTCAAGTCACATCTACAATCTCAGGACGGCAGGGTGGCAGCAGTGGTAGCACACGTGCCTGACAGCCATAAGCGTTTGGGTTAAATTCCCGACTCAGGTATCTATCTGTTGCAGGAGTTTGTATGTTCTCTCTCTCTCCCCATGTTCTCCATGGGTTTACTCCGGGTTCTTTGGTATTGACCAAACACCCCATTATTGAAAAATTGCATGCAAATTACTCACTTGGTATCACACACAGTAGCAACATCACCCACTTGGTGGGACCCTCCTGAAAAGAGTTGTAAAACGTTATTAAACTTTCCTGGGTAAAAAAAGCACAATAGTAAGAAGACAATCCTTGCAGTCACGAAAGCTTTAAATCTAGAAATCATAATAATGTAGCATAAATAGACAAACAATTCACAACAAGAGCACTGGGGATGAATTTACATGAATTTTAATGGCTGTCATTTTGAAGCAAAGCCTGATTTAATTTGTATTTATCATCCACATGCACGACAAGTTTGGCATCATGGGTTTTTGTTATTAAACGAATTTCCTTGGACATTTTTTCTTCACTTTGACGGAATGCACCTGGTCTCGTTAGAGCTCAGAAACTCAGCAGAGTAGAGCCTGGACAGTGCTTAAGCAGGAGCCTGGAACGCCTGTTTCGTTTGCCCGGAAAGACAACCCCCACTGTGTGTAAGAGGTGCTGCGTGGTCAGCAAATGGCACCCACCCCCTCGTGTGCCGTGCCGGCCTTCATAGGTGCTCGTTAACAGCACTTGCCCCAACAGTCTGTTAAGGCTATACGGGGGGTCTTTGTTTGTGGGTGAGTGGGTGGGTAATTGAGTGAGTGGGTGAATGAATGAATGAGTGGGTGAGTGAGTGGGTGAGTGGATGGGTAATTGAGTGAGTGGGTGAATGAATGAGTGGGTGAGTGGGTGGGTAATTGAGTGTGTGAATGGGTGAGTGTCCCTCTCTATGCCTCCCTCGCCCTGCACCCAGTCATACTTTCATTCCTTTTCCCTTCTTGCTCCCCTTCACTGAAACCAACTCCCACTGCAGCACACAGAGCAATCATCTTCACTGACCTGCTTCCGTTCCTTCCTTAAAACCCATATCTTCTCCCGAGCCCATCCTATTCCCTGCCCCTTCACTCCCCAGCTACCACCAGGCCTACCCCTATCACTACCTTTACTCGTACCATTACCCCTACAACTATCACTACCCCTATCACTACCCCAATCCCTATCACTACCCCAATCCCTAGGACTACCCCAACCCCTATCACTTTCGCCAACACCTATCACTACCCTTACTCGTACCATTACCCCTACAACTATCACTACCCCTATCACTACCCCTATCACTACCCCTATTACGATCCCCACACATCGCTACCCCAACCCCTGTCACTACTCCAACCCCTATCATTACCCCTATCACTACCCCAACCCCTATCACTACCCCAACCCCTATCACTTCCCCAACTCACACCTATCACTACCCCGAGCACTACCCCTATTATTACTCAAAACCCTATCACTACCCAAACCCCTATCACTTTCCCCAACACCTATCACTACCCGTATCACTATCCATACCCCTATCACAACCCCTACCCCAACCCCTCCTTAACCTCTCCTGCCTGTTCTCCTGTCACCATAACTGCACCACTTTCAATAACCCCACTCTTTATCTCAACCACTAACATCTTATGTAAAGAAACTAATTCCTGTAAAGCACCTTCGAATAAGGCTTTTATGAATGTAGATAAGATGAGACGAAACAGTCAGTCTTGTAGACCGAGTCCTCAACACGAGTGGGGGAATCGGTGGCAATGCTGACATCTGTTTGTTTTGTTTTACAGAGGAAGTTGTGAAAGAACCAGAACCCAAGCGAGGTAACCCTGATGTTTCTCCCCGTTTTTGCACTCTCCTCACTCTGTACGATCTGTCTTTATCTGGAATTACAGATAACATTTTCAGAAGGAAACATCTTTAACAGAAAGAACATTGATATAATTGTCAAATTGCCTAATTGCAACTAATTAAGTTATCCCAAAAAATTGGGACGTATTGTTATTGGTGTGAAAGAAAACTCCATGACAATTACATCCTGTAATGCTTCTGATAAATACTCATGGCAGGACATGTGAATAAGGCATAGTATCACATCAGGCATATACTCTACATGTAATTTCTAAACTTGAAAAAGCGAGTCTAGGAATAGGTGTGTCTTACAGGAGCGGTAGTGGAGCAGTTAGCCCGCTGCGCCATTCCCGCTCACAAACAACACCAATGACGATTATCTATCCTGGCCTCCCCGAGGTCGACTCAGCCTCATATGAGTACCTGGTGCGGTGTGTAAACATCATCACTGGGGAGACAAAGGTGGCCGGGCATGGTGCTGACCACCCACCCCTCGCGTGAGGTGCTGGCCTTCATAGGTGCTCGCTAACAGCACTTGCCCCAACAGTCTGTTAAGGCTATACGGGGGGATATTTGTCTTAGGTTGTAACAGACATGGATGTTGATTCTCTATTTTGGAAGCACTTTTCTAGAGTTGTGTGTGAGGTCCATGTCACATGGGTGGTAACACGGTCCAGAGTTAGCGAGTTGACTGGTTGTTGTAGAGGTTCGTGGTTCAAATCTGCACCAAAGCAGACGTTAAAGACCCTCTGGCATTATGCGAGAAGAGTAGGCCATTGTGTGCCAGCATCATTGTCCAAGTTTTAGAAATTTGAAAAATGACCTGCAAATTACTCTATTGGGAACACAAAGAGCAGCAATCAACACTCCTTACTGGCCCGGATAATTCCCGCTGGCAGGCCAGGTGCTGAGTCATCTTGTGCAGCACAGTGACACCTGCCACCGGGGGTACCCTTTCACATGTTTCAATTGAGATGTGAACAAGCCGCTTTTTGCATGTCAAGTGCTCTGATATGCCCCAGGATAAAGGAGGGCTCTATCAAAAACAAATGACTGTATATTGTTAATGTCTGTAGAGTTTACAATTGTGGTATCTTAACTGTTCCAGAGGAAGTCAAGAGAACGAAAACCGTAATCATCACTCAGACCATCGTGGATGGGAAAGTGGTGGAGTCAACGGAGGAAGTGGCTGAGAAAACCCTGTCCGACTCAACCGATGCTTAACATGGCACTTAGATACTTCACAAAACGTAATTCCCCAAAACTTTCCAGCCCAGCTTACATGTCTCAATACTAAGCGGCATTAATTTAATCAGCTAACACGTTATGAAAATGTTAATTGGATTTGAAATTGTAATTCTAAACACACCTGTTTACGTACAGTACTGTATATGTGTACGCATTGATGTGGGCATATATCTCAGCCATTGCCAGCAAATTAAATACCAAGGACAAGTGTTAACTTCTTAATAGAGTTCACAGAGCACATTGGTAAGCTTTTTTGGATTGATGTGTTCAATGAAAGTTGAATGCGTATTGCGGTTTACAAATGGAGGCTCTATATCCCTCATGCTTTTGGCAAACAAATACACACGACACAAGTACACACAACACAAGTACACACAACACAAGTACACACGACCAAGTACACACGACACAAGTACACACAACACAAATGCACACAACACAAATGCACACGACACAAATACACACAACACACGTACACACGACATAAGTACACACGACATAAGTACACACAACACAAGCACACACAACACAAGTACACACGACACAAATACACACAACACAAGTACACACGACAAATACACACGACACAAATACACACGACACACGTACACATGACAAGTACACACAACACAAGTACACACAACACAAATACACACATACACACAACACAAGTACACACAACACAAGCACATGCAACACAAATACACACAACACAAGTACACACGACACAAGTACACACGACACAAGTACACACAAAACAAGTGCACATAAACAAGTACACACAACACAAGCACACACGACACAAGTACACACAACACAAGTACACACAACACAAGTACACACGACACAAATACACAAGTACACACAACACAAGTACACACGACACAAGTGCACACGACACAAGTACACACAACACAATTACACACAACACACATATACACAAAACAAGTGCACACAACACAAGTACACACAACACACGTATACACAAAACAAGTGCACACAACACAAGTACACACAACACACGTATACACAAAACAAGTGCACACAACACAAATGTTACAATACACAAGGAGACATCGCTTTGTGTTTTTTTACAATGGGTACACGTGTATGGAAAGCAACAAACGATAGTTTATTTCCTGGGTATTTGGTACTGATTTACATGTTGTGCACTTCTGCTTGCTTTCCCCAATAAACATGTTGGTAATCGACATACGCTTGTGTTTGCGTCAATGTGGAGGGAGCACAGTTTGATTAATTCTTAATTGCCGGAACAAATGCATTTCAGCAGGATAATTTCATTCGCTCAGAGGCCCTCGCTGTGTTCCATTTCTTTGAAGACAGGGAGGGGCTGGTTACCATTTAGTCATCGCTGTCGGTGTATTGACCATACCGATGCACTCAGTCTGCTGGACAGTAGATGTTAAAGTTCCTCTGATATCATTGGTCCAAATTTGTCAAGTTTAAAATAACAGCAAAACTCCAAAAATCCGCAATAAAAATGGAATAAATCGCAGCAATTTGTGGATTACCCAGGTCCAATCCTTTCATCACCCAAAATGACCAGTATGATTAAGTATACTCTTTGGTTCTGGTATACATGAGGCCGTGCGTTCAACCCCGACCCTGACGCATGTATATTTGGAATTTACATGTATCTCCCTGTGGTGGCGTGGATTTTTCTCTGCGTCCTCTGATTTTCCTTCCACATTTAGAAACATGCGTTTAGAGCAGTGGTTCTTAACCTGGGTTCGATCGAACCCCAGGGGTTCGGTGAGTCGATCTCAGGGGTTCGGCAGAGCCCCCGCCACGGAGGTCCGGACACACTTGAATTATTGTGTAAATTTGTGATGACACACACGGCCCGCTTGGCCATCACTGGCTGCAGATGATCATGCTACACTGCTTGGCCAATCAGCGCTGCGGGGAATTTAGTGCGTACTCAGTAGTCAACGTGTGACTGTTGTTGTCGTACGTCGTGTGATTTCTTTAATATTTTATCCATACTAACTATGTCGGGCAAAAGAAGAAAGTGGTCGGACGAATATGTACAACATGGATTCTCATGTATCACGGAACGTGATGGGAGTGAGCGTCCTATCTGCATGATTTGCAACGCCAAGTTGAGCAACTCTAGTCTTGCACCGGCAAAACTAAAGGAACACTTCTTGAAGCTGCATGGAGACGGGGAATACAAGAACACAACACTTGCTGAATTCAGGGTGAAGAGAGCCAGATTCGATGAAAGGGCCACTCTGCCTGCTCTTGGATTTGTACCTGTTTACAAACCGATCCTGACAGCATCGTACGAAGTTGCTTACCTGATCGCAAAGCAGGGCAAGCCACACACCATTGGTGAAACACTTGTGAAACCAGCTGCATTAAAGATGGCGAATCTGATACTCGGAACAGCGGCCGAAGGTAAATTATCCCAAATTCCCCTTTCAAATGACACCGTCAGTGACAGAATAGAAGACATGAGTAAAGACATATTGGCTCAAGTAGTCGCGGATCTGATTTCAAGCCCGGCAAAATTCAGCCTTCAACTCGACGAAACCACAGACGTTTCTGATCTAAGCCAGCTTGCTGTTTTTGTACGCTATGTGAAAGACGACATGATAAAAGAAGAGTTTTTATTTTGTAAGCCTCTTACAACAACAACGAAGGCAGCCGATGTGAAGAAGCTTGTGGATGACTTCTTCAGAGACAACAATCTTTCATGGGATATGGTTTCTGCAGTTTGTACGGACGGAGCTCCAGTCATGCTGGGAAGAAAGTCTGGTTTTGGTGCGCTATTAAAGGCCGATGCACCACACATCATTGTGACGCATTGTATTCTGCACAGGCATGCGTTGGCAACAAAAACCTTACCTCCAAAAATGGCAGAAGTATTAAAAACTGTGGTGGAATGTGTGAACTATGTGCGAAAAAGTGCTCTGAGGCACCGCATCTTCAGTGAGCTGTGTAAAGAAATGGGCTCTGAATTTGAGGTACTTCTGCTCCATTCTAATATTCGGTGGTTATCCCGGGGACAGGTGCTGAATCGTGTTTTTGCCATGCGTGTGGAATCAGCCCTGTTTTTGCAAGAACACCAACACTGCCATGCAGATTGCTTCAAAAATCCTGAGTTCATTCTCATTTTAGCGTACATGGCTGATATATTCGCAGCTCTCAATCATCTCAATCAGCAGATGCAGGGTGGTGGAGTCAATATCATGGAAGCGGAAGAACACCTGAAGGCTTTTCAAAAAAAGCTACCGTTATGGAAACGACGAACAGAGAACAATAACTTCGCAAACTTCCCGCTTCTGGACGACTGTGCAAGTAAGATCGAAGATGTGTCTGGAATCGGAGATATTTCTGTATCCACGGAACTGAAGCAAACAATTGCCACGCACTTAGATGAGCTTGCAAAGTCTCTCGACGGATATTTCCCTACAAGAGAGTCATATCCAGCATGGGTGAGACAGCCGTTCACGTTTGCTGTTGAAACAGCAGATGTCAATGATGAATTCCTCGACGAAATCATTGAAATTCAGCAGAGCCAGGTTCAACAGCAACTCTTCAGAACAACAACGCTCTCAACGTTTTGGTGTCGACAAATGAACAAGTATCCAGTTATTGCTAAGAAAGCCCTGGATTTTTTTATACCATTTGTTACAACATATCTTTGTGAGCAATCCTTTTCGAGGATGCTGGACATAAAAACGAAGAAAAGGAACAGACTTTGCTGTGAAAATGACATGAGAGTGGCACTTGCCAAGGTGAAGCCACGCATATCTGAACTGATCTCTCAAAGGCAACAGCAGAAGTCACATTGATTTCCAGGTATGTAATTTGTTGTGAGTTTATGCATTGTGTTGGTTTTATTCTTTGAACAAGGTAATGTTCATGCACGGCTCATTTTGTGTACCAGTAAAAAACATATCTACGTCTTGAATTTGAAAAAAATCACATTTTATTTTTCACTAAAGAGGGGTTCGGTGAATGCGCATATGAAACTGGTGGGGTTCGGTACCTCCAACAAGGTTAAGAACCACTGGTTTAGAGTATTTGGCTGCTATACATTTCCAAATAAGCCACTTCATTGGGCTATGAAAAAAGCTATATAGGTCAGTGGGCCTTACCTGGTAAAATGAAATTTTAAAAGTAGTTAAATAGTTAATGACCAACATTATAGCATTATGTGAGGAGGCCTTCAACCAGCAGTTGGTTGACAAAAGGCTGTACATTATGAATTATTATTCTAAGTTAAACGCAGCAGTGTATACAATAATTAGCTATATTTGACGGCAGGGTGGCGCAGTGGTAATTATTGTGCCTCTCTGGGTTCAGTTGTCGGCTCTAGTGCATCTTTGTGTGGAGTTTGTATGTTCCTCCCTGTTCAACATGAGGTTTATCTAGATTTCTGCAGTTACCTTCTTTAACCCACCATAAACAACGATAGAATGTATCTGTTTCCATTTAAAGCTTTCGTGACTGCAAGGATTAAACTTCTTTGGTTCTTTCGGTAAAGTCACGTAGAATGAGAATAAAATAATAAATTAATAAAATAACACAATAAAATTCTCACGACGTTTCGGCCACAACACCTGATGAAGGCCACTTGTGTTGTGGCCGAAACGTCGTGATAATTTTATTGTGTTATTTTATTTTATTAATTTATTATTTTATTCTCATTCTACGTGACTTTACCGAAAGACCCAAAGAAGAAGAATGTATCTGGTTTTGGCCAAACATCCCAATGCTGGAAAAAAACCCCTGCAAATTACTCAATTGGCTTTACACATCAGCAGCAATATCGCCACCTCCTGCGAGAGACTTGACAGGACCCTCCTGAGGTTTTCCTAGGTGAACAAGCAAAGAAGAAGCAAGAACAATGGTCAGTGAGATCAACCTTGCTCTCAGAATACACTGTAAATGTCTGTAACCACCGTTGAAGATGCTTTAACGCAATCGGCTTTCTGTTTGTTGCTAATACTGTCAGGGGGCCACATCGCATTTGTCACTTTTCATGGAACAAACGGAGCCTGACAGGCGGTTGATGACATGTACGTGCGCATCTCCAGTTCCGCGCACTCCTCGCGCCTTCACGAAAGGGGCCTCTTGGGTCAGAAGACTGAGCTCTAGGAATTTGTCAGCCATTAAAGTAATCTTTCGTTAATATGTCGATATGCTTGTGTTTTTGCTGATATATTGCTATTTTTTCAAAATTTACAATTGAAGTAAAATGTAAAGGCTCCCCCCCCAGCTAGGCGCCAGGCATGGTGCATCATCGAAGTCCCCCACCCTCGTGGCATTCTGCAACAGCGTAAGCAACCCGTCCACGGCGTGACTCTATTTAGCCTCCCCTTGTAATGTGAGCCGTTTGTTTGGTTTTGGCAAGCCATCGTCATTCACAAAGTCATATGTAGAGCATTGCTTGTGCATTGGATGGCATTGCACAACAACGCCATTGGCCGTCCTTTCCCCAAAGGGGCTCTCAATATAACACAACTGTATACAGAGCAGTAGGAATAACGAAAAGACACGGAGATACTCATTTTACTCTGTACAGCACTTCACTCATGTTTAATATCCGTGGCCATTCGCTCCGAATACGAGTTTGTTTTTCAGGGTTAGGATTACATGTAACACTGCGACAAAATATTGTTCAGGATAGAATGAATAGAGTACTATATTACCTTGCCATGGTTATATTAATACCTGGTGTTAGCAGGCGCCTCTGACCGAATCACATGGAATGATCCTGTATCTTGTCAGGGCTCAGAAGCAAAGCTGGTTTGAGACTGGATAGTGCTTGGATGAGTGACCACTGTGGTTGCTATAGGGTCATGCGGGGCTACGTGGTGGCAAGTAGAGGGCAGCCCATCAAAATACATTGTTGTTCTGTACTTATATGCTTCCACATCGATGCACCACATCTTCACCAACCCTCACTGACCAGCGTGGTGAAGTTTGATCAAATTTACCCCCAGGACCCACGGCTTTAATCCAGCGGTGGATTGATAAAATTGCCGTATGTTTGTACAAAATAAATTACATTCGCGAGAGTGAACTTATGGTAGCATTAGAGGCATGCTTCGCTTAACGAATGTGATTTTTACGGGAATTCACGATAACGAGCAATTTGAATTGAGCCCAATTTGTTCGCAAAACGAGCAAGTGTTTGCGTAACGAGCTGAGACCAATCGATCAAATGCGTCCCGTGGCGGTAGTGGGCACACCACGGCCCGCAGCTGTTTGCTTGGCAGTTGTGCCATGGGTGCGGAGAGGAGTGCGTGTGGGGAGCGCGCAATAGGGCTGTGTGATTGAGGAGAGAAAGAGAGTGTGAAGGCGTTGATTTCAAATAGAATATGCAGCTGTAAGGAGGTGATATCATAGGCTATACTGGGGATCTTGCACTGTGGTTTTTCATGTGTGGTAAGTGTTACATTTGATGTTTAATTACTCTATTTTAAAATTATACCATAATTTGTATATCGCATGTTATAAAAGCTGTTCAAGATTGGATATTTTTTGGAGCTGAAACATATATATCAGCTTTTAACATGGGAGTCGATGGGAAAGCAATGATCATTTAACGAGCAATCTTCGAGAAACGTATCTCGCTCGTTAAGCGAGACACGCCCGTATATGGAATGTGTCCAAAAACATTATTGTAGACAATGAGGATTTTCCCAAATGGCATGATTGGCACGTTTGTTAAATACGAACCTACCACTATTAATAACAAAGGTACATTCACAATTTTCAGAATTAGCTCCTGATGAGAAGTTCTAAATTCATTACCGAGACGTATTTGTTTAAACACAGCTGAGCACGGAGCCCAATATGTCAAGCAGCCAAGGGGTACGTGAGGTGATTTATAAATATGTGAATTTATATTATACATGAGAGTCATTGGTGAATAATTACGTATGAATCTGCCAATATAAAATAACTATGATAAAGTGTAAATTCATATGGTAACATAGAATATAAAATACCTTTCTAAACTCATTAATAGTAAACAATGTGGTTTCCAAGAGTACCCAGTGAACGTGAACAAAATACGTCACGCATGCAGAACATCCGTTAATTTTTTTTGTGTTTGCTTGTAGTGACTAGCCAGTTAGGATACCTCACAATACGGACAATTGGTTAAAATAATATTTCGATTTAAAGCTTTCGTGACTGCAGGGATTCATCTTCTTGGTTATTTCGGTAAAGTCACGTAGAAGGGAAATAATAAAATAATAATTACTTCATTATTTCCCTTCTACGTGACTTTACCGAAATAACCAAGAAGATAAAATAATATTGATATGAATTATTCATACATTGTGTTCTCAGAACCGCGATGGGTCAGGAAAGGGGGTACTCGGTTGAAACAAAATTAAACAAGGGGGGTACAGTCGCCAAATAAGGTTGAGAACCACTGGAGTGATGACAAGAGTTCACGTCTTCCTTGGGCTGAGGCAGGTAATAAGATCATGGGAACAGAGGCGATGGGATGGAACTCCATAGTGGAGGAGTACAGGGGAAAAGGCAGAAAAGTAAGTGTGTTTACATGCAGTGTGGTGGCCAAGTGTGGGTGGGTGAGTGAGTGGTTCGTTTTGTGGGGAACGGTTGTCTATGTTGAACTTCTTTCGCACCATAGATAAGTCACTACTCGGAGGTGCAGCGAAGGGACAACAAACTAAACACTAAAAGCAGTTCAAAATAAATTGTGGCTGTTAGCGTACTTCATTACGATCTGAGTGACCCAAGTTTGATTCCTGCTCAGGGCCATACCAGTGACGACTATCTGAAACGGTCATGGGCCTCCCTGAGGTCGACTCAGCCTCAAATGAGTACCTGGTGCGGTGTGCAAATATCGTCACTGGGGAGACAAAGGTGGCCGGACATGGTGCTAGCCACCCACCCCTCGTGCACCGTGCCTTCATAGGTGTTCGCTTACAGTACTTGCCCCAAAAGTCTGTTAAGGCTACAGTATGAGGGGGATCTTGGTCTTTGTGTTGTTTAGGTCTACAGTGTAGTGGTTGAACACAGCATGCATATCACGAAACAGTCAGTTTGCTACACCGAGTCCTCAACATGGGTGAAGGATTCTTTAACATGGGCAGCCTGCCAACTGACCTCCACCACACATATATATGTGCCTTACACTCAATTGACTGGAATCGCGATTAGGGGCGGAATAATTAAACAAAATCAAATCGATGAATACAAATTCCTAAGTTAATAAAACATGAAGCGAATCTTGATTTGAAGCTTTCGTGACTGCAGGAATCCATACTCTTTGGTTCTTTCGGTAAAGTCACGTAGTTAGAAATAAAATAAAATAAATCACGATGTTTCAATCGTAACACAAGCGGTCGTCCTCAGGCGGAAAAAATAGAATCCAGCAGTGGAACTGCTGAACCAGAGAGAGAGCAGTTACAACAAGACCTTATATATGTGGCGATGGGCAAGCAAACACAACTGAGGTGATTGCGTCCGTGGATGGAATTCCTTTCCAGCTCAGACCCCATTTGCTTGCCCATCGCCACATATACAGTATAACCTCCTTGTTGTAGCTGCTCTCTCACTGGTTCAGCAGTTACATTGCTGGATTATATTTTTCCGCCTGAGGACGACTGCGATCGAAACGTCGTGATTTATTTCATTTTATACCTACGTGACTTTACCGAAAGAACCAAAGAGTATGAAGCGAATCACGTGCGAAAATATGTATTTTTATTCCTATTGTGTTCGTGCAGTTCACATGACCATTGCAGTCACGAATGGCCACGGGCATACGCTATTATTAAATCACGGGATCGAATCGTGGCCCTGTATCAGCGCAATTCATCGAATCGCCGCTGGTAACGGTGGTAAAATTAACCTCACACAAACCTAAAAGCAACGGGGGTCGTTGCCTTCCCTGCTGCATAGCGGCTGAAGTCAGCGCTTCATGCCAGGCTTGGCTCCAGCACCCTGCTCCATGCACTGCATGGGTGGGCATCCACTCACAGGGTGTGTGCTCTGGCTGGGAGGGCATGTATTTAATGTCCACTGATATGGACCGTGTTTTGACCTTGAAGAAGGTTGGAGCAGTGGCCGATAACTTCACCTACTTTTAGAGTGACGAGTGCGATATGTCAGCGTACAGTGGTCCGTCGTCAGCGCTCCAAGGCACCGATGAAAGTACGAGGACAAATTTGGGGAGCCCACGGTTGAGGCTTATTTGGTTTGACAAACAGACGTGTCGTGAAAATTGCACTGCATTTGGTTATTCTAGAGCCGCGAGTGGCCGTTGAGTGGAAGCAGGAGGTGTGGTTTTCCACAAGTGAATTCCCATTCCTGCAGAGCTACATATTCATGAGCGCATAGCACGTCAGCAAGTGCCAATTACACACAACACACACACACTCAAATACAGCATAATCTAAAATAAACTGTTTGGCTTTGCTTAAAATAAACCGCTCTTGTACACACACACACACATAGAGCAAGCAGCAGCAGCAGAGTCCGCTCGGAATGAAGCTGCTTTATCTTCGATTGACCACCGTTCTTTTCATGGACTGTTTCATCAATTGCCATGCTTTCAACCTTGACACGGATCATCCGATCATCAAAGAAGGAGACGAAGGTAGCCTCTTTGGTTTCTCCGTGGCACTCCACAAGCAAGTGCTGCCCGAGATCAAAAGCATGTGAGTGTCTACATGTCGGTGGGTGCCTGTGTTGGGTGTTTTGCCGTGTGACTCCTGTGCTGGGCAGATGAGGATTGTTTTAAGTCTAGGTCAATAATAATGAAATGAATGCGATACTGGCTCACTTGCTTCATATTAAAACTTTAAATGCAAAAGGGTCTCATGTTTTAAATTATTGCAAAAAAAATGCAAGATATTCTATAGGATTGTCACGAATTTGAAGAGAATGCGTTAGGTCAGGGAAATTAATATAAAAAGTTTTAAAAAATCTGGGAGGAAACGTTGCTTTCTGCAAAATAAAGTTCTCCTGCTGATGCGTCATTGTTCTGTGGGACACGCGTAGTTATACACGCAAATGCTTATGATATCTAGCTCCAGCTTTTATTAATGTCAGTTTAATTGGACCCCACTGTAACATGTTAAATATAAAATCCAAAGATAAATGTTCTTTCAAACAGAACAAACCCACATATAGACTTCCACAATTACGTAAATACTTGAGAGAAAACAGATAACGTCAAAAGGAAATTCTATTTCATGCATGTATTTGGTAAAACTGAACCTGTTGTACCTCCACAAGGTGCTTCATTCAAACCTTCTCTGACCCATTCTAACTATGGACAGGAAGTGTGCTATGAGCAATGCCCTTGAGGTCTCCTCATATTTTCGCACGAGTTATTTTTTCAAGTGGAGGGCAACGAAAGCGATGCTGCATACATAAAAAATAACCGCTCTCTGCATCCCCCTGCCCTCTGGGTGAACAGTGTTTTGGAAGACAGAATTTTAGTAACCAGGCTCGGCTCATCTGTATCGTTAAGAAACAAATAATTTGAGTCACCTCCGCATCACCCTAAATGTTCTTATGGACTTCACACAGATGTCTGGGTCAGGAGCCTAATAGTGTTGTTGCGATCTGGACCCGGTTTGGGCTCTTGGCTTGCCCGACACACATCCCTGATGGATATGGACGGACTAAAGGCTCGAACGCAACAGGGTAGAGTTGAATAAAGGAGGAGGTGACCCAATAATGCGGCTCTCATCTGCCGAGGCTGTGTTATCCCCAGGGCCGTCTGGCATGAGTTTGATGTTTTATGGAAGAAAATTACACTTAAAATGTACAAGCAAGTGCACCATTACAGCACCCGAGTGACAAGCTGTAACTATGACAATACGCCCATACCTTTAATACATCCGAGCATCGCCGTCAGTGGTAATATATGGCGGCACGTTTGATGGTTATTTGAAAGTCTTGTGTCCCATTACACGAGCTTCAAATCCGCGTCAGACACTGCAGGGTACACATCCGAGCAATGCACTGACACGGCCAGAGCTGCGTGTAGTTAGTTGCGGCGTACTGTAACTGCCTGTGCCTTGTTTACGCGCAGATGAGTTACCACGGCTTGGTTCTCATTAGGACACTGAACAAACGCACCAGTGTACACCCTGGCTGATAGTCTGACACAACGTCAGGCAGAGCTTTGTCTTGACCGCGCAGTCGCTGAGAAAGCTGTTTCTGCATTTGCATATTGGCATGATTTATGAATGTGATCATGATTTTTCTGACGAGACAATGAATGTCGAAACCGGTCCAGAGTTTGTTTGCATTGAACCAGTGCTGCTGAATTAATGCATTTCCAGAAGGCCGTGTGGCTGATTGGATGTGTACAAATTACTTTTAAAAAATTATCTGGAGGGACAGCTATGGGAAGAGGCGAATCATCTGCTTAATAACTGTGTTATTTATATTCATGTGACGTTATTTTTGCGTTTAGTTTGTTGTCCTTCCCCCGCACCTCCGGTGAGCACGGTTGGCAATGCACGGTGCGAAATAACTTCAACATAGTGTATACACAAAAATGTATAAGAATGAGAAATCGATGTCCCTGTTACCAATTTAAAAAAAAACACGTGTTTTGTTTGTCAAGCGAATGTAAGTTTTTCGTGTGCCCGATATCGTATCGATGTAGTGCACACGCTTCGCATTATAAAGAGATAGTGCTGTGATTACAATTGGGTTATGCATGTAGGTATGTTGACCTTCTTTTGCACCGTACATAGCCAACTGTGCTAATCGGAGGTGCAAGTTAGGCCGAACTTTAAAACAACTGAATGTTCAGATGATTGTATTAATTGTGAATGCACAGTGCCGGATAGATAGTCCAGGCTGTTAAATTTAGAGTGCAGTGCATTGAGGAATGCAGCAAGCACGCCTTGCCCACACACACGTGAGGAGTCGCTATGTAAGTGGCACTCATACCCCAGGGATCACTGTCGATTTGCTAGGCTTGTTTCCATTAACACGGCATTGCTGGCATTGCTACGATTCCACCATTGCGGATGCCCTCGAATTTATTTAGCCCACGCTGAATAGGTCTACTTTGTGAGGAAGTCGAAATTGATTGTCCAATAGATAGACGCCCCTGCCATAGGAACGTGGAATCTTCCACCACAGCCTCAGGGCTTTAAACGGGAGACGAGTACCACCTCGATGCTATTTTAGACAAGGCATCACTTTGGCACACGACTTCGCAACGTAGGCGTTTTCATTTGTCATCTGTGAGTAAAGATTACAAACGCATAAAGTGAAGGTAAAATGTACGAAAACAAGAATTGCTCGGTTAGCCTTCGCACATGGGGATAACCGGCTGTCTCATATTACAGTTGGAAAATGCCTCACCCAGCATTCCCTGCTGGTCTCTGTCCACAAGAGCAGTGCCAATCAATCCCGGTCCCCCAGACAGTGGGCTGGAGGGGGTGAATGAGGCAACGTTCCCCTAACCTCATGCAAAAAGGTCTCACAACAGGGCCTGTTTTTGCCGCTCTTGAATTCAGGGGCCAACACCACGTGGCATTCTGGCCCAGTTCTCTGGCCCTTGCCCTCCATTAACTTTTTTTGGGCGGCCCACATCCCAGTAATAAAGCGTGGCCGCTCTGACAGCAGTCTAGCAGAGGGTTAGGGTTTGTTCTCATCCCCAACAAGGGTCAACGCAAATGACTGACATTGTGGGTGTCCGCGTGATGCATTTGGTTGTGAACAGCTCGACACAACCCTTTGATATTTAATAAACATCAACTCCAGAACTGTACATAATTGGGGGGGGGGGGGCTGCTGGTAAGAGAAGTTTCATTGATCCAAATATCTCATCTGGACTGTATGCACAGCATTCCTTACAACTCCTGTTTGTTATTTGCAGTGAGGGGTAGTTCAATGGAAATTCCATTATCCAAGAATATCTAGATGAAATCACGGGAGTGAATGCAAGCATCCACTCCACGTTACAGCGCCCTGTGCACGAAAAGGCGGGTGGCGTGCGTGCCTCTGCTGTGCAAGTAGTGGGGCACAGCTCGTGGCCACCACGAGGAACCCGAGTGGCGATCGTGGTGCCGTTCCTCCCCGCAACCTGGACTGGCACGATGTGAAAAGCCTTCATCCAGCAGTGGAATGACAAGGGGGGTTATTGTTATATACTGTATATAACTTGAGTTAATGTCCCGATGCAACAGGCCTCCATTTCACGTTTTAAATACTGTAAGTCAATCCCGCTGGGCTCTCAGCTGGTTAAAATGCATTGATATAGTGTTGTGACCAAGTTAGAATTGTTTACGAGTATCATGTGCACGTAAATTGTTCTTTTATTTTTAACTTATGAAGCCTGCACATGCTGTTGTCTCTCGCACCGCACCCTAAATGCGGTAATGTTTAAATGGTGCATTCGGGCTGTGGCACAGCCCAGCGGATGCTGCCCCAACGTCAATGCAATTGACGTTGGGGAGCTGGCACACGGATGAATACTGTAACGAAGCTGCAGACACGTAGGCTGAATGGTTCATTCAGGAGAACTCGTCCGTAGTGATGTGGGGAACGAATTGTGGATCATATTATCCGCGATGTTGTCCCATCAGTTTATTCCATTTAACCGCCAAAACAACCCCATGGATAATAATCTTCGTCTCTAAATTATCGTCCGCTACCTTCATCATCTTTGTCTTCCCGCCCGCTCCATGCTCTCTCTCTTCTCTGACCATGCTGGCCTCTAGTCTGCCTGTCTCACTGGTTTTCAACTTTGCCACACAATTCTCCACTTCCTTTACCCCACGTCTCACTTAACCCCGAGTCTCGGGCATTTCTCCCTCTCTCTCTCTCTCAGCGTCTCTTCTGGGTCCATCAACTTCAACTTTTCCGTCTTACCCGTGTGCTCCTGCTGATGATGGTATATACCTAGTCTAAAATGTGAACGTCACCACCAGAAGATGTCATGGTCATTTAGCTTGGCGCCAAACAACATACGTTGGGTTGCTGAGGCAGCGATAAGGTCAGACCCGAGGAGGATGGGTGCTGGCTGCAACATGGACGCGAAGGGCTGACGGTACATTTATGGCATCTGCCAAGGTGTGCTGTATTGAGAACATCTCAACCCTGACTTTGAGATCATCACACATGCACGAGGAAAGAGTTTTGTATTGAATATTTAAGGGTTTTGTATGTTTTTTGTTACAACCTTTTAAATAAATCAGGGCAATTACAGAATGCAATTTAACGTGTCTCTGTGACAAGATCTGATGCCACTTTGTAGCAAATTAGTGCAGTGTGTGTGATGCGTCACGATATTCCCTGCCACGGAAATCCACTTGGATCAATCCACAACACATTCCTTTTGTCGGGAAAATTATAACTTCGTGTCTAGGTCCAATGTTTTCAATATATTTTTTTGTTTTCCAAATAAATAATAAAAAACACAATTTGGAATATAGCCACCCCGCCCTCACACCGACGTTTAGAACGTCGCCTTCACGGTGTGCTTGTGGCACGAGTGGTGGAGCTCTGCTGCACTTGTGACCCCCCCACCACACTTGCACAGCGCGGGGTCAATTCATACACTCGGTATAACGGCCGCCCTCCCACATACGACCTGTCAACCCATACGTTTTACCCGTATCCTTGCATAGAGGAATTGAGTTTTCAGGTCCATATGGCGTACAGCCGGTTCAAAACTGGTAAA